GTGTTGCTTATTCATTATTTTCCTAAGTATAGTGTTTGCATAGTGATATTAGAATTAAATTTTTAAACTTAAAAACCCAGGCAGATATGGGGCTAGTTCACTTACAGGATCAAAGAAATTTATCCTAAATATAAACTTAGATAATTATGGCTAACCTGTAGTAAAATACAAATAATGATATTTTGAAAGGCAAAATTACATAGCATTAACAGGTAACACAAGTTTCCCTCTAAGAAGTCCTTTACTTAATAACATTTCTTCTTCATATTGAAAAGGGCTTTAACTCCATGATTATTAGGTCCCAAATTGGCTTTACATAAGAATCATAATGAACAAAGATACTCAGCCTCCTCTCCAGAAGGACTTCATCAGGAATTCTGGGGTCAGATTCCAGAAACAGTTACTTCTTAAAAATCCACATTCGTTGCCATCCTTTAGAGTCACTTGATAGAACCGTCAAGTGGTTTGAATGGCTTAACTGGGGTTCAGGTAGTAATACAGAATCCATTTAGGCCCATGCCTCCCTATTTCTTCTCCTAAAAGTATACAATAGCAGCTCTCCTGATAGATAGTTTAGGCATTCATAACTCATCCCTTTAGGAGAAGCATAAGAAAGAGAAAACAGTAATGGTGGATGAGAAAGAAACATCATCCAGGTGATATGGAGAGCCACCATATGGTATCAGGTGAGGAAAGCCAGTGAACCCAGGAATGGCAGCATCTATCCTGCCCCACCTTCTCCCAAGTCAACAAATAATGATTCCCAGAAGAGTGGACCTTAATAGGGTCCCTGAATAGGGACTAAAAACAAAGAAGACTAGGAAGGCAGAGAAGACAGGTGTGAAGAATATACAGGGAACAGATATTACAGACTTGTTAAAAAATAAAAATACTCTTTTAAAAAAGAAGAATTAACTTATAAGACAGAAGGTCCATCCCTGGTGGCACTGGCTAGTGGTAAAGGGAAGCAGGGAAATAGCAATAATAAAAGCCCTCTCCAAAACCAGAAAGAATTTGAAAATAAGAAGAAATACGGGCACCCAAAGTCACCCTATATTAAGTAAATTGTTCAACATTTAGCTAGAAGAAGATGCCCTGAGATTAAAGACACTGAGAAAAGCAGTCTGACCCTTTTCTTCTAAAAGAAAATTAACTAATTCAAATTAAAGGGAAAAACTCAATTTTATGCGTAATATCAGGGGTGAAAGAATCAAGATATTCAGTAGAGGAAAAAAAAAGCACACCAAGAAAATACTGCTACAATGTGGAGAAATACTAAAGAACTTTTAACATTAATTTTGTAAATTAAGCAGTAAGTTAACAAAACAGAAGTAAAGGAATTAGGAGAGATGACAATAAGATGACATGAAACAAGAATTGACAGAAAAAAAAAAGAAATTGGAGGAAAAGAAAAAATCATTTTAGAAGTGAAGACCAAATCACAGGAAGCTAAACAACACCCAAAAAAGCACAGCAATAACATAAAAAAATAATGAGTTGAAGAGACACTTCCCATCCAGTCTGATATATAAGGAGCTTTAAACACTACCATTCCATGCTAACAACAAGTAAAAAGCAGTGAACAAATTGAAAAATGAAAACTCTTCTTAGATCTGTCAGAGAAATGGTTCACAGGGCAAATGGCTATATCAAAAATTGGAGAGATAAGCAGGAAGATTCAGAAAAGTACAATTTATTGGAGGAAAGTCCCAGGAGAAGTAAAATCCACAGGAACCAGTGTGGGAATAAGAAATTTAACTATAATTGATGGATTGTTGGAGGCTCATTGTACACAAATCTGAGCTTTAAATACTCCAGAGAGACCTAGGCATAGAAGGGCTGTCACACTTTTTGAGGTTTACCTCCAGGAGTTCTACAAGGGCTTCATTGTGAATGCTGGAGAAAATGCTCTCATGCTTCCAGGAAGGGGATGGGAAAGGGAACCATTTTAAAATATGCCCAGTAGCATGAAACTAGAAATAAGTAATAATAGGGAAACTGAAAAATTCATAAATATGTAAAGACTAAACCAGAAGCTCTTGAACAAGCAAAGTTCAATGAAGCAATCAAAAGGAAAATTGAAAAAAATATCTTGAAACTATTGAAAATAAAAACAATATGCTAAAACTCATGGACTTCAGCAAGATAAAAAACAGTTCTAAAAGGAAAAATATATGGTGATAAATATCTACAGTAAGAGAAAAGAGAGATCTCATCAAGAACTTCACTTCACAGCTCAAGGAACTAGGAAAACAAGAACAAACAGAGCCCAAAGATAATAGAAGGAATGAGATAATTAAGATCAGAACAAAAGTAAATGGAGACCAGAAAAAACAGTGGGAAAGATCAACAAAAAAAAAAGATGTTTGAATAGATTAGTTGAGGAAACATGGCAAGACTCATATCTGAAAGAGGATACATTACAACTGATACCACAGAAATTATGAAGAATCATAAGAGACCAGTCATCAAATTGGACAATCTAGAAGAAATGAATCATTTCTTAGATAGCCTACCAAAACTGAGCCATGAAGAAATAGATAAGATAATCTCAATAGACCATTAATGAGTAAGGAGATTGAATTAGTAATCAAAATCCTCCCAACAAATAAAAGCCTGATGACCTTACTTGGTGAATTCTGTTAGATATTTAAAGAAGAATTAATACCGATCTCTTTCAAACGCTCCTAAAAAATTGAAGTTGAGAGAATACTTCCAAACTCATTTTTTGAACCCAGCATTACTCTAATCCCAATGCCAAAGACAGTATCAGAAAAAAAAAAAAATTATAGGACAACATCCCTCGTGAGTATAGATGCAGAAATCCTCAACCAAATATTGTCAAAACTAATTCAGCAGTACATTTAAAGGATTATACACCATGATCAAGTGGAATTTATCCCTAGGATGCAAATATGGGGGGGGTGTTCTTTTAAAAAGTCAAACTCATAGAAACAGAGCAGTATAGTGATTATCAGGGCTGGAGGGGAGAGGGAGAATGGGAAGGTGCTGTTGAAAGGGTACAAACCTCCAGTTGTAAGAAATACAAGTTCTATAGCTCTGATATACAATATGGTGACTCTTAATGATGCTACATTGTATAGAGAGTAGATTTTTTTATTGTTATTGAAGTGCCATTATTTTTCATCCTTGCTAGTGTTTTAACTGTATAGGCTTTCCCCCCCACCCCACACACCCTAGCCCTCCCACCACAGAAGCATCCATAGTCCTCCACCATAGTCCAATGTGTTCTCCCCTCAACCCCTTTTCACCCCATTCCCTTGCCCTTCTGAAAGCCTAAGATCAATGGTCAGTTTTCAAGGTTTGGTTTTAAAGTTTGTCCTTGACCCTTTGTTTGTTTTTTTTTTTTTTTTCCTATATTCTGCATGCAAGTGACACCATCTGCTATTTATCATTTTCCTTCTGACTTATTCACTTAGAATAAGCCCTTCTAGCTCCATCCATGTTGCTGGAAATGACATGAGTTTATCTTTTTTGATTGCTGAGTAGATTTTAATTGTTCTTACCACACACAAAAAAAAGATTACTATGTGAGTTGATAAATGTTAATTAGCTTGATTGTGGTAATGTTTTCGCAGTATCTAAATACATCAAATTATACTGTACAATTTAAATATGTATAATTTGTCAGCTGTATGTTGTAAAACTGGGGAAAAGCAAACAAAACTAATAAAAAAGCAGCAAATAAAAAGAAAGAAAATCTTAATGCTACTTCTGAACTGTTGCAGAAAACAGGAAAATAAGGAATATTTCCCATTATTTATGAGACATGGATAATACTGTTATTCAAAACCAATGAAGCTGTACCAAAATAATACCCCAACTCAGTGTCATTAATTATTTATTTTGATAGTTATAATGCTGTTTTGATTTTGTAGGAAAAGCTTAATGTATTTTGCATTTTCATACTGAAGTGTTTAAGAGCAAAATGTCATTTTTTTAAAGTACTTTACATGTTGTCATTTACTTTAAACTACTTTAGTATTGGAAATATGGATAAAGATAAAGATATATAAAGGTGTATTTGAAAGGTAAGTGGAATACCCTAAATAGGGAAATTAAAGGAAGATGCAGTTACCTAATTAGAGAACTTCAAAAAATGAAGAATAGAAAAAGTGAGAGTAGGATTTTTTTTTTAAAGATTTATTTATTTATACAAGCACTGGGTACAGTCAGAAGCACGGGAGGGTGAGAGAATTCACCAGCGCCAGAGCGGGGAACAGAACAGGCAGACCGACGAAATGCACTGCTGAGGGAAGCAGTGGGCATGGCAGGAGAGGTCTGCCGCGCCCAGCGCTCAACCGCTGTACCACCAGGGGAGGCCCCAAGTGAGAGTAGGATTTTAGACAAAGATCAGGATATTAGGTTCAGAAGGGACCTCTGGTTCACTTCAGTGTCAGGTCTGTGCTATATAGTAGGAAGATTGTGTAGGTGATAAGCTATATCTTCTCTATTACCCTAACTGCACAGCATGGCTTTTCCATAAATATTGAGTTGATTCACCGATTAGTTTGTCATTTGGATGGGTTGGTCAAAGAAAATTGAAAAGTCATGAGAAAGAAAAGGGCATAAAATCTAGAAAAATCATTTAATATGGGATAAGATAGGAAGAAATGATAATATGTAAGTAAAAAGAAAAACACCCAGGTTAACTTAAAATAAGAAGAGTGAATAAAAACTTTACATGAATTTTAAAAGTGGGAAGTGGCTTATCTTCCCTCATCTAAGGATTGAATCATTGTCAAAACAGTTAGCAACACAATATATTTAAACTTGTGGGTTTTTTACCCTAAGTTCTTTTTTTAGAAATTTTTTGTTCAGAAATGCATAATATATAATTTGTTTGATGTTTCCCTTTCAGAAACAGGGTTTATGTAAAGAAGGTTTTTCATGCAATCAAAATAATATCCTGAAAGTAAAATAATGTCCTGAAATAAAATGGTAGTAATATTTTTCTTTTGGGGTGGGGATTATTCCAGGCATAGCCCTTTTGTACCTACAATTATACCGGGTCACGTGTGACCAGACCTACCTTCTCCGATCCTTGGATTACGTAAAGCGAACACTTCGGAATCTGAGTGGCCGCAGGGTCACCTTCCTCTGTGGCGATGCTGGGCCCCTTGCCGTCGCAGCTGTGGTGTATCATAAACTCAAAAGTGACTGTGAGTCCCAGGAATGCATTACAAAGTGAGTTTTTAGAACTGGAAATATTTTCTCCAAATTCTCAGTTGAAAGAATTGCTATAGAAAGATTCAAAAAGGAAATTTATTTTTTATTAATTATCCATTGTTTGTAAACGGATCTCTCCAATAAGTGAAGAGGTTTGTTTATTAATATTAAGCATAATAGTGGGACCGTATCTCCCACTATGTCCAATCATGTGTTTGCTTTAATTGGGGGAAATGTGTTTCTTTGAGTTACCTTAATTTTTCCTAAGTAATTTTTGGTTGTCTTCCTGCATGAAAATTTACTTAAATGTTTTAAGTCCACCACAATAACTAAGTTACCTGTAGGTTCAATCTCTGAATAACTGATTAGAGACGCTTACTACAGAACAACTAGGAAGTATAAAATTTTTTTGCACCCATTGGTTTATGGTCTTGCTTGATAAAGACAGGGATTTGGTAGAATACCAGGCACAGACAGGTCAGGTTCCTTAATGTTTTTGGAAAGATGGAATAACGCAACTTAATTCCCCAACATTGGCTACATTTTAACATCATTTTTCTGTGACCTTTAAATCAGTTTCTCTTAATTCTGGATTTCAAAATGAGTATTTACTCAAAATAGTTTAGAATAGATATGAAGTTAGAAAGTTTAAAAAGAAAGAAGTTTCATTATTTTTTTGACATCTGCGATATATTAGTGAAGTTTTTTGTTACTGGTTTTAAGTTAAAAATAAATAATAGATAATTCCTAAAATGAAAGGTTGCACTTACTGTTCCAGGAAGAGGTATTTCAGACATTCTCTAAACAGCATTTTTCTTATTGGGTAGACTTTTACAGCTCCAGAGAACCATTGTCTGCCGAGATTCAGACCTTCCTGATGAGCTGCTGTACGGCCGGGCAGGCTATCTGTATGCCTTACTTTACCTGAACACGGAGATAGGTCCAGGCACCGTGAGTGAGTCAGCTATTAAAGAGGTACTGTGGACTTATCCACAGCTCTGGGCACCTCTCATCTCTGTACCTGAACCTGTCTGTTAGCACTGAATTCTGCTAGTAGTTGAACTCTGCTTCTGGTTGGAGTAATTTCTTTAAACATCTTATGAAATTATACATCGTACCTATCTTCTTTTCTAGGAATGTTTTTTAAAAATTTGGTCTTCTCTTAGGTCTGTATTAACTGTTTTTACTAGAACCAAACACAAACAGTATCAAAAAGATAAAATTTTATTTCCTTCCGTGAGCTGCCTGAGCTAGTTGGCAATCCAGGTGAGCATGTCTAGGGACCGGGTTCTTCTAACTTCTACCACATCCATATCTGTACCACCAAAGCTAGTTGAGCACCAAGTTTGGGGGACAGGTAATGACATGGAGAATGAGCAGGTTTCTTTTTAAAATCAAGGCCTTGAAGTTGCCCATCTCAGTTCTGCTCATCCTGTTACTAGAATTTACTCAAATGACTGTGTCCAGTTATCTGTAGCTGGAGCACTGTTACCAAAAGTACAGGGGAGAACAGATATGAGGAAAGGTTTTTGCTACATGGTCATTCCAGCAGTGATATTTTTATTTTGACCTAATTAAAACCCTGCACTTCACAACAGACCTCATTTTACTAGACTTCATAAATATATCCAATTCCTCCTGCTTTTCTTGGAAGATGTACTTGCTAGTCTTTTAGGTAAACCATTGCAATTACAAAGAAACGAAGAAATCCAGGGCAATTTTTATAGGCTACCAGTATCTAGATACCAGTAAACTGTTCATGCAAAGAATTTTTTTATTTCTTGGCTCAAATTCTTTTTTTTTAAGATTTATTTTTATTTATTTATGCATACAAGAACTGGGGTATAGGCTAGAGCTGTGGGGGCTAAGAGGATTCATTGGAGACAGAGTGGGGAACAGAAGAGGCGGATTGACCAAAATACACTGCTGAGGGAAGCAACAGACAAGACAGGAGAGGTCTGCTGCCCTGTGTAGGTTAGCTCCCTGGCCAGTGATCGAACTCATGCTGCAGTGGCTGGCAATAGCTTTATAGTGCTGAGACTAACCCCTGTGCTACCAGGGAAGCCCCTTGACGCAAATTCTTAATGCTCTTTTTTACTTTGAGATGGTCTTCTGATTTTTTCCTGCCTGTATTTATTAATATATATAATAAAAATAATGTTAACTACTAACAGGTTGAAGATTTTCAAGTTATCCATCTTAAAAATTAGAATACAACAGGATACCTGTAAGTATTTTAGACAAAGTCCATCTCTTTATCTCTGTAGGTAGTCAGTGCTATTATTGAATCAGGCAAGGCTTTATCAAGGGAAGAGAGGAAGACTGAGCGCTGTCCCCTGTTGTATCAGTGGCACGGGAAACAGTATGTCGGAGCAGCACATGGCATGGCTGGAATATACTGCATGTTAATGCAGGTAAGTAAGTAAGAGCACTCTGGAATCCCAGCATAGCCACATATTATGAGATATTAGATCAAATGTGAACTGGCAACTGAAACTGTAGTTCAAAGCAACAAACTAGAAAGAAATATGATTCCTACTTGGAATCACGAAGCTTAAGTTCTGTTTTGTGAACCAGAAGTGCTTTCCCAAGAGCACATTCCTTTTGTGGTTTTAAACCAAAATAGGCATCTGTTACCCACATTTTGCTATAGTCCATGTACCCCTGGTGATTGGAGTTGTCACTACTTAGTGGGAAAAACCTGCAGGGAGTCAACAAAAAGGGCCTCCAGAATCCAGACTGGGGCAGACTTTCATGTTCACATGCCCCCGTATAGCTGTGCTATAAATTGCTAACTAATTTCATTGTTAGGGCTATGTTCTTGCCTCTCAATCACACGTGACATTTACTGGGTTTAGTACTGACTCTTTAGAGTCATTTAGAATCCCTACCCCAAATTTTATTTCAGCCTGTTTCTAGCCTTATGGCTCTTGCTTCCCTTCCCTAGTCTGTTCATGACCCTTTTTTAAATTAAGACTTTCTTTATTCTACTATCACCATTATGGAGCATTTGATAACTTCCTCAGAATCACAAAACTACTAAGTTAAGAATCATGCATTTGAATTTAGATCTTTTTGACAGTGAAGCCTATATATCCTTTTTAAAGTTTTTCAGATTACTTTTTTTATCCACTGCATCTTGCTGCTGCTTATTAAAGGAAAATAGAAAATTTAATTATACCAGTATACCTCCACTTTTTTGAAAGTGCATGTTTTGCCACTTTTGTGAAAGACCTACACTAGTACTTCTTTTTTCACAAACCATTTTTATGACAAAAGGTGAAAGGTGAAAATAAAATAGCATTCAGCATTTGTTTTACAGCAGCATCTCAGGTCACTAGAGTGACCCTACCAAGCTCCTTCCCTGGAACTACTTTATAAAGGCTATGTATTTGCAATATCATAGCGTTGCTGCTTTTATATTATGTTAGTGTGATTTTAGGTTTTATATGTTACTTGGTATGATTTGGTAAATTATTTGGGGGTCCAGGAACAGTAAAAAGTTTTTCCATATAAAGTAATGGTAGTTGTTTCTTTAAGCCCTTTGACTTAGGAAAACTTTCATAGGAATACTGTACTTTCAGATAGTGGGGAAGCCTGTAACAGAACTAAAACCCCATTTTTGGTAATTTGTTGTCTTTATCATTGTAGAAAATAAAATAAGCATGTATTCCAATTCATGAATTTTCTTTACAGCATACATTTCTAAAAAAGAAAAAAAAAAAAAAACCACAGCATTCCAGATCTCATTTTATTTTTTTTAAGACTTATTTATTTATGCATACAAGAACTGGGATACAGGCCAGAGTTGTGGTGGGTGAGAGGATTCACCAGAGACAGAGTGGGGAACAGAACACGCAGACTGAAATACACTGCTGAGGGGAGCAGCGGGCAAGACAGGAGAGATCTGCTGTGCCATATGGGCAGCTCCCTGGCCAGGGATCAAACTCATGCTGCAGTGGCTGCAGATAGCTTCATAGTGCTGCATCTTAACCCTTTGCGCCAACAGGGAGGTCCCTCCAGATCTCATTTTGAAATGGTACTGCTAGTCTAGACAACTAAGAAATTGTATGTCTCTTTCATTTTCTCAGAAAAATGTTTTAAAATGAGGTATGACCCTTTTCTTTTTTAAGTAATAATACCCTTAAGGGGAACATAATCATATGACAACCATGTCAACCAATACTCTGCAGTGTACAGTGTGGCCTGTGTTCTGAGTTTGTGACTCCACATCCCATGGTGTCTACAGAATATCCATGCCTGAAATAGTCAACACTTTATTTATAAAATAGGCTTTGTGGTAGATTTTTGCCTGATTATAAGCTAATAATGTGTTTTCAGCCCTTGAATGGTATGTTAAGCTGAGCCTAGCCACAGTGTTTGGTAGGTTAGTATATTAAATGCGTCTTTTTTTTTTTTTAATACAAGAGCTGGGGTATAGACCAGAGGCCCAGGAGGGTGAGAGGATTCACCAAAGACAGAACAGGGAGCAGAACAGGCAGATGACAGAAATACACTGCTAAGGAGAGCAGTGGGCACGACAGGAGAGGTCTGCCGTACCATGTGGGATTCTCCCCGGCCGGCTGGGATTGAGCCCTCACTGCGGAGGCTGCTGACAACTTCATAGCACGGAGCTCAACTTGCTGCGCCACCAGGAAGGCCCCTTAAATGCGTCTTTGACTTAGTATGTTTTCAACTTCTGGTGGGTTTATCAGGACGTAACCCCTTCCCAAGTAGAGGAAGATCAGGCTTTTGAACAAAAAGCTGTCTGCAGTGATTCATTCTGAGGTTTATTTGACTGGGCAAAAGGACCCAGATATTTGGCAAACATTATTCTAGGTATTTCTGTGAGGGTGTTTTTGGGTAAGAGTTACATTTAAATGGATGCCCTGTCAGTAAAGCAGAATGTCTTTCTACTGTGCTTCAGCTGCCCCTGAGCAAGAGGGCACTCCGAGAAATAACTGTCAGACTTCCCCTGCAAACATTAAAAAGAATTGAAACAAAAAAAAGAAGTCTGTATTAGTCTTAAATAAACAGGCAATAGAATTAATTCTAATTACACTAAAATTAATGTACCACTCCAGGTAACTACTGCCACAATATGGTGATGTTTTAAAAACAAACAAACAAACAAACACCTTGAGAAAAAAAATCAATTAAAGATTTTGTTTTCTTTTCATTGTCCAAAGCCAGCAGCAAAAGTGGACCAAGAAACCTTGACAGAAATGGTGAAACCTAGTATTGATTATGTACGCCATAAAAAATTCCGATCTGGGAATTATCCATCATCACTAAGCAATGAAACAGACCGACTGGTCCACTGGTGCCACGGTGCCTCGGGTGTCATCCACATGCTGATCCAAGCTCACAAGGTCAGTGCACTGGTTCTAGTCATGAGCACCCAGTGTGCACATTCCTGGCTTTCACCACCAAGTTTTCAGTTTGATTTTGTTAAGCACATTTTATCACAAACTAAAAACCTTAGAGAATTCATGTTTTTACAAAATGTTCTCTTTTTCACTCTTCACTCTGTAACTGATGATAGAAGTATTTGTGTTTTAACAGGGATTGTGTTCATGTATAGAAGAAAACCTAATGACTGCATAGTAGTGATTTTTTTTAAAGATTTATTTATTTATGCATACAAGAGCTGGGGTACAGGCCAGAGGTGCAGGGGGTGAGAGGATTCACCAGGGACAGAGTGGGGAAAAGAACAGGCAGATTGACTGAAATACACTGCTAAGGGGAGCAGCAAGTGAGTCAGGAGAGGTCTACTGCGCCATGTGGGTTGCTTCCTGGCCGACTGGGATCGAACTCGTGCTGCAGAGGCTGCAGATTGCTTCATAATGCGGTGCTTAACCCCTTGTGCCACCAGGGAGGCCCCTGCATAGTAATGATTATTATTCTACTGAGTATGGATATCCAGTAAGGCAGTAGGCAGTTTTATAACCAAAATACCTTTTTGTTTACTGGACTTAGCATCTTTTTTTTTTTTTTTTTTTTTTGCATGACTAAACTATTATTGCCAGATGATGATAATGATGATTCAGAAGCTTTTAAAAATTGGAGTTTAAAATTATTCATGACAGATGTGGTGTCAAATATTTAACACATGGGATATAATCGGAAAATAGGTAGTGTCTTCACTGATTAATTCTGGCATACTTTAGATTTATTTGGGCACAGTTTTAAAATACTGTTGATATCCATTCTGGACTAAGCTTTATTTTATAAGCTGAAAGCATACAATGCTTCTTTTGCAATTCTGGTTATTTTTATTTAATGCATCTTTATTTGTAATATTTGATGTTGAAAATTATTACTCTATATCAAAGTATACAACTAAAAATCCACAATGATTGCTTAGTCTTGGCAAGGTCTCCAATTGTTTTAGAAATAGATGGAATTAATGGAGAAAAAGTTGTATTTCTTCCCCAAACTAGTAATAGAACTAATCCTTGAGTTAGTTTTATTTTCCCTTGTAATTAATTATAATAAATTATTCTAAATAATCTCTCATGGTTTAAGCTAACAGAATTTTTTAGCATTCTTATGACAGTGTTACCAAAAACATTCCAGTAATCCAAAAATCAGGTAGGTAGGTATGAACATTCAAAAAAAATAACTGAGAAAGTTTAGATACTTGATGAGAGCAAAGCACAGCAAAATCTCTTTGAAAACAGAACTTAATGATTCATCTTCTTAATGATTCATCTTCTTAATATCTCAGTTTTTAAGTAAGACAATCTGTTCAAAACACTGCCTCCCCTATTTTAGTGTTTTAGAGCAAATGTAACTTCAGTGACTTCAAAGTAAGTCTGTAATGCTTTAAATATCCAGCCCTGACATCTGAGCTCACTATCAACAGCACCAATAAGGACTCTTTGATATTCAAAATAGGTGGAGGCCTCTGTAAAAAGGTAAAAGCTTCTGTTTGTCAGACTACTTTTCCCTTTCATTTTGTAGAACTACTAGTGGCTGACTGATAATCTTGGCTTCTGGGGTCTTTCCACTGACCCCTCACCCTGGGCACTTTTATTTCCATTGCCCTGCTGATAGTTGCCACCTTCTGTCTACTACTGTTGGATGCCAAGAGCAAGCACAGAAGTGACTCAGGCCAGCAGCTCCCTACAAGGCTTCTGCTCAAAATTTTTATTCAAATACATTTCCCTACACAGTTAATCACAAAACAGAAATTCTTGTCTTCCAGAAAGCATGGAATCAACAACCTTAAGATCCTATACTTAGTCACTAATACTTTATTTTGTCCATTTCCATGAAGATTCTCAAACGTGACAAAGGAGGAATATCAGAATCTTCTGAGTCTGAAAGTCATCAGTAGTAATTTTGAAAGAGCATATATAATGTAGTTTTACAATTTAGGGTAAAAATGTGTCTTCAATAGTATATGTCAGTGAATGGAGCATAAAGTTTGTGTTTAGACAAGGCAGAGGCAGGGGCATGGTGGCAAAGCTTTAGACTATATTGTCTCTCAAGTTTTTGTTAAATTAAGCAACTCTCCATTTATTGAAGTTTTCTTTTAAAACTAGGCAGCTTTCTATGGATATTTTTAACTTAGAATTATATGTTATTTTATATGGTCTTGAAAAAAAAAGTCAATATTCTCTGGCATATTCGGAGTTATGTTAATTGCAAATGATATTCTAAAGTCACCTTTATGGACTCCAAAACTGGAAGCTATTTTAAAAGTAATTTCAATCAGCTGTTGATTTTTTAAAAAGATTTATTTATTTATGCATATAAGAGCCAGGTGTACATCAGATGTGGAGGGGTGGTGGTGAGAAGATTCACCAGAGACAGAGTAGGAATCAGGAGGATTGACTGAAATAGACAGCTGAGGGGAGCAGCAGGGGAGACAGGAGAGGTCTGGTGTGCTATTTGGGGTTAGCTCCCTGGCCAGGGATCGAACTCATGCTGCAGTAGCTGCGGTTAGCTTCACAGTGCTGAGACTTAACCCCATGAGCCACCAGGCAGGCCCCATCAATCATCTGTTGATTATCTGACAGTAAATTACAAATAGTGGTAGCAAATTGTACTTTCTTTAACCACACATTTTGGACTCTATGATATTAGCAGTTTGTGTGGATTCAGCCACTATAACAAATTAATATTGATCAAATGAAAACGCATTTACAAAGGCAAATATGCTGCCCCAAAACACTATGTAATTCATACCAGAGTGGTGACAGTGCAGTTTTTTAATTCTGTGTCAAATGTGTGAAACAACCACAACATGCCCTCTGGCACCCACAAACCACCTATGAAAATTCTAGACTAGAACTACATTAGAAATGCTCCCTGGTGCCAGCTGTTGACTGTTACATCAGATAAGATTTCCATATAAGTTATGTTCCAAAAACTCACTTCTAAGTTGATTGTTCAGCATGCGGAACTTCTGTTTTTCTAGGAGTATGTGTCAGAATCACCTGGAGAAAAATTTTTTTTTTCAAACTGTACTTTGTTTCCATCTTTCGGACATCTTCCTAAATTTAGGCACTTTTATATAAATATACCATAATTTATCTATCACATTTTTCAGTTATTTCTAGTTTTTGTACCAGTATGAATAAGCTACTATGCACATTCTTGTACAGGTCTCTTTATATAAATGTTTCTACCTCTTTGGAGCTAATACCTTCAGGTGGAGTTTCTGGATAAGAGGACAGGTATATATTTAGCTTTTAGGAGAAATAGATCTTTTTCAAAAGTAACACAGTTGTACCTTTTTACTTTCTATCAGTTGTGTAAGATAGTTGTGGTTGCTCCATGTCTTTGCCAACAGTTGGTGTTGAGTCTTTTTTCATTTTCTTCTGTTGGGTATTGTCATTTTAATTGGCATCTTCCTGGTGATTAATGATGTTGAACAATTTTGTTTGTGCTTATACCCATTTGAATAGCCACCTTTGTTGAGGGCCTGTTCATATTTAATCATACTATTTTTGTCTTTTTGAGTTTTAAGAATTATTTGTAAGTTTTGATTACAAGTTCTTTTGTCAGATACCTGTTTTACATACAATTTATTCCAGTCTGTGGATGGCTTAGCCATATTCTTTATGGAATCTTTTGATGAAGAGAGTTGTAAATTATGATCAAATCTATTTTATCAGTGTTTCTATGGTAATTATCTGTATCATAGCTAGGAAATTTTACTTACCCCAGCATACACAGATAATACTCTCCTATGAGCTTCATGGATTTAGATGTTACATATAGACTCATGATCCATTTCAAATTAAGTTGTATACAGTATGTGAGGCAGTGAGGTTTTTCCTTTTAACCAGAGGGATACCTGATTGTTCCCACATTGTTTGTTCAAAAGACTTTCGTTTACTCCACTGATTGATCTTGTGCATTCATCAATAATCAGGTGAAATAAACATGGATTTATTTCTCTGCTTTTCTGTTACTTGGGTCTGTTTATTTGATACTTCCATGCTATTTGGATTGCTATAATTTTATTGTAAGTTTTGAAGCCTCAAAATTTGACTTCAACTATGTTCTTTTTCAAATTGCTTCAAATATTCCAAGTCTATTGTATTCCCATTAAAAACATAGAATCAGTTTGTCACTTGTACAAAAGAGTCTTACTGGGATTATGAGTGAGATGGCACTGAATCAGTTTTAGTAGAATTGACACCTTAATATTGAGCACTTTATCTTCAGATATTGATATATCTTTTCATTTACTTGTATTTCCCTTAATTTCCATCAGCATGGCTTATATAGTTTTTAATGTCTTTAAATTTAAAGGATGTCTCTTTATATCCAGTCTAACAATCTCAGCCTTTAATTTGGAATATTTACCTCATGTATTTTTAATGTAATTATTTGTATGATTAGATTTTAGTTCTGCTATTTTCCATTTTGTTTTTATTGGCTACAGGTTGGAATTTTTTTTCCTATCTCTTTCTTGCCTTCTTAGGGAGGTAGGAGATAACATTTACATATATTATAGAATTCCATTTTAATTTCTCTGTTGACTCTAATTGAACCACTTTGTACATTTTTTAGTGGTTCCTAAATATATATCTATAACTGCAGCATACCAAATACAATATATATCATTAACTTTTCACAATCTACGTAGAATTAACATTTTCACTCCACATAAAATGTAAGAAAAGAAAATATTAAGTATCTAGCTCCATTTACCCCATTTCTTAACATTATATAAAACCCCCAATATAGCATTGTAATTTTTGCTTTTTAAATAGTCCTATGTATTTTTAAAGAAATTAAAACAAATATATGAAGGATAGTCTTGATATTTACTTGTGTTTTTCCTTTTTATTCCCCAGTATTCTCTCAATCTCTATATAGCATTATTCATCAGCCTGAATAACTTCCTTTAGCATCTCTTATAGTCCAAGTTTAGTGACAGTAATTCACTCTCATTTATTTTAAATTTGTTCATTCCTTAATGATATTTTTTGCTAACCCTGTTATTTCTCACAAGAAGTTACTCTATTCCCTTGTATGTAATGTGTGTTTTTTTCTAAAGAATGTTTCAAGATTTTGTTAGTTTTGGTTTTAATACCTTATCACATGCTTATGTGTCTCTCTTTGTACTTTACCTGCTTGGCCCTCTTAAGTCTCTTGAACTTGTAACTTTATGTCTTTCACTGCATTTGGTAAAAATTTGACCTCTGCTTTCTAAAAGGTCCCTGAGGTTTATATTTTGATATTTTTTCTTCTCAGTAATTCAGATTGGATAGTTTTTTATTTATCCGCAGTCATATTCACTAATGTCCAGTCAGCTATTAAGCCTGCCCAGAAACTTTTTATTTCACCTATTGGTATTTTTCCATTGTTAGAATATCTATTTTTCTTTTCCATTGTGAAACTTTCTTTGAGAGTCCCAAACCACTCATTGATCATGAATATAACTTTCTTTTTGTCCTTAAAGAATTTTAATAACTGCTTAAAGTACTTACTCTATTTTTGATATTTGGGTCATCTCAGCATCAAGCCAGCAGGTTCAGGGGAGTTAACAGTGACTTCCCAACTGTCATTAGTAGTTGTGAAGAGGATTTCAACTTCTGTCTTCTGACCCAATACCTTATATTCTTCCGTATTATAATGTGTCTCCAAACTTTTTGTCATGGCACTTTGGAGGGAAATTTATTATTTGAGAAAAGTATTATGGATAACTAAATCAATTTTCTGGCTAAGTATAATTGCTACAATATAGAGAAGATGAATCTGCTACTAAATCACTGTTCATAAGCTTCCTGTACATTATTTCATTTTAATCCTCCAATATGTCACTGAGATAAGGAAATAGTCTCCTTCACAGAAGAAAAAGCTCAAATGTATGAGATTAAGTGATGTATCCAAGGCCTTCAGTTTTAAGGTGACAAGGCAGAAATCATACTTGGGCAGTCTGACCCCAGCACCCACATCTCAGTGGCTGTCACAACCAGTCTTGTGACAGTGAGTTGGTCCTGATCAGCAGGAGGGGCTACTCTCTTTCACCTGCCACTCCCTACACAAGCCTCTTGTTTGCTTACATCCACAGGCCTTCTCAGGGCCCTGGTCCCAGGAGGTCACTAATCAGTCAGGTAGATGACACCCCGGAGGAGAGCACCTCATCGCCTCAGACTCATTTGTAGTAGAATGAAATGAGTTAACATTCGATCAGGTAGAGAATTTTAATAACAAATTATGAGGAATGGACCAGGGAAATTAAATAAATGAAATGTAAGGAGAAAGAGAAGAAAATTTAAAAGGATCTGGAGAGAAAAAACAGACAGCTCTCTCCTGCCACATATTTCTCTTTGCTGAGCTCTTATGTCTGTGCCACTGTCAGTGTAAATCACTCATTGCAGATGGTGCCTTTTAATCCTGCAGCCCAGGCGTGCCTGCTTCTGGGACTGCAGGAAGCATGTGCAGGTTGCCTCAGGTGAGCTGTGACAGAGCTCCCTAGCCTGGTTGTGCCAGGTCACTGGGGTCTTGATACATGAATATTCTTAACCCAGGTGATGAATTTTGGAATCATCACTTCCCCTTCTGTTGCCTTCTACATGAACAGAGGTTTTAGCTTTTCAGATATATATCTCAGGAAGCATAGGATGGCTTATTTGTGACAAGATATCTTACCAAAGAGATCTGGAAGCTTTAATTTTAATTGTTTTAACAATTTAGAATTACTTTTCTAGAAAAATATCAGATGGTTTCACTTATAGCAGGAATATAGGGGAACCAAATAAGATATCAGTGTAAAAAATGATAACAGTACAAAACACAACAAAGCAAAAATGGACAGTTATAAACCAGAGACATCCTATAGGGGAGGAGGAGGGAGAGGGATCAGAGGAAGGGAGGGAGGAGCACAGGGGACTGAGGTAATGGTGCACGGGTGCATTGTCAAAGGAAACTCTATGGGGACTACACCTGAGGGAGTGGGGGAAGCAAATATTGTTTAAAAATGAACAGTGATGTAAAAAATTAAAAAATTCATGAAGAAAATTAAAAAATAGAATTACTTTCATAAAACCATGAGCTAGGAAAAAAGACAAAGCAAAGAGATAGCATTAAATTGTAAGGTTCTGTATGAAGGTGTTTGTTTTTTTACAAAAACATAGTGGTGTTTGTTTTTTACCCCACTACCATTTCTCGTTTTCTAATATGCAATTCTCTGACCAAAAGGGAAAATATTGTGCTTATTCCTCATTGAAAACATCTTGTTAATACGGTTTTGTTTTTTTATTGCCCAGGTTTTTAAGGAGGAAAAATACTTGAAAGATGCCATGGAGTGTAGTGATGTGATTTGGCAGCGAGGTTTGCTCCGGAAGGGCTACGGGATCTGCCATGGAACTGCTGGAAATGGCTACTCTTTCCTGTCCCTTTACCATCTCACCCAGGATAAAAAGTACCTGTATCGTGCTTGCAAGGTAAGCATATCACTATCCAAACACTCCTTAACCCTCCAGAACATGCACAAAGCCCATGAGTGCAGCTCTTCACTTTGTTACCTGTGTCTCCTGGCTGTGGCTCTGCTGTTTCTGCTGGCACAGCCTGTGCCTCGCCTCTCTGAGCCATGGGACCCCATCTGTAAAATGGAGCCAAGACATAGAAATGAGGTCCCAAGGACACAAGACCTGATTAGAACTCCACCTGTGCCCTTTATTGATTTTTTGACTTGGGTATGTTTCTTCTTCAGTGTTAATGTCCTCATCTGTGAAAATGGGTGGGGGGGAATGGGACCTTCCTCCTAAATTTGTTCCAGAAAGATTAATAGAGATAAAATGTACATCATCTCTAATAGCTCTCTTGAAGGCCTCCAGTAGTTCCATCATACTCCCCAAGTTTACAGAGCCCTGTTCACCTCAGAGCTTGCCAGTTTCCCCACCCTCTTCTCCTGATCTCCTCCCATCTTCTAGCCCACAATACTCGACACTCTGCAGCCCACTCTCTCTGAAGAAATGTGCCACACTCTTCCCTTTGAACCTTTTATTTGTTGTTTCCTCCACTAAGAATGCTCTTCTCCTAAAATTCGCAGGGCAACACCTTGCCATTCCAATCTCAGCTTAACTGTAATATTCTTAGAAAGGGCCTCTGAGGTCTCCCAAGTAAAAGATCACTGTCACTCCTATTTCCTCTTGATTCTGCCGACCATTGCATCTGTAGGATGTAAATTCTGTGATCCTATTCGTCAGGTCACTACTCTACACCAGTGTCCAGAACAGTACCTGGCATGAGTAGAAACTCAATAAACATGCTAATAAAAATCAAATATGTGAAAATGAACAGCACAAAGCAAGACTCAGGAAATGTTTACTAGTGTTTTGTTACGATACACATTTCGCTAATCATAGTTATAAAGACACAGAAAAAAGACTAGAAGAAAATATACCAAAAAGTTTACAGTGACACTTTATAGATAAAGACATCATGGATGATATGGTCTGCATATTTTTTGTATAGTGAGTATGTGTTAATATTATGAAACCTCTTCTCAATCCACATAGACCCCTTCCATCTCAGTATGTCTGGGACATACACACGCCTGATATGACACCTACGCCCAGATGAGGGTGCTGTGGGGCACAGAGAGGGCAGTGGGAGGCCAGAAAGTGATGTAGGCATGGACACGGGGCAGAGGAGGATGGGGAAATGTTCCAAAGCAAAGAAACTGTTTACTAAGGCCTGGAGGTGTGAGACTCTCAGTGGAACCACGCGATATCCATGTGGCCAGGGCAGAGCAGGAGAGAGTGGGAGAGTTGGGCACAGTTGGTTTTGATGATAATTATAATAGTAGATGATAAAGTAAATGTGGGGAGCTGGGGAGGATTTTGTGAAAGTGAGACACAAGCTAAATTTTTAAAGATGAAGCCTTTCAGGTAGACCAGGAAGGGCTGGTGTAGGGAGGTGGAGCCTTTCCTGAGGGGAGAGTGGTCATAGACAGCAGTGGCTTCTTGAATCAGCAGGAGGTATTGGGGAACACAAGTGGAGGAGCAGCTGGTAAAGACCAAGTGAGACGGGTAGACAAATGCCAGGAAAGTCAGTCCTTTCCTTTTAATCAATAGTCCTCAACCTTGGTTACACCTTAGGATCAAGGGGAACCTTAAATTCATGCAGGACCCCACTTAGTTCAATTCAGACTCTTTAGAAAAGACAATGAGATTGAGTTTCCCAAAGTTCTTGTTCAATAATTAATGCAAGAAATGTTTATTTATAGACCAAGGTATTGACTGTGATAACAAAGAGGACTTAGAATATTAAGACTACAGAATTGAGTAGGGTTTCTTTTTTTTTTAATGTGGAGAAAATGTAAATTACTGAGTGTCTCCCTATAGTCTGCTGAGAAAATCAAGTAGATCAGACATGTAGGAAGCAGATTCAGAGAGTAAAGCACAATGTTTTATTTTATATGTGCCGAATTTGATATTCCTTGTGTTTATTACTTACAATTCTTTATATGTAATGAAAACAAAAGTTAGCTTAAGCTAAAAAGGGAGATGTATTAAAATGTTATAAAAACCTCACTGAAGAGGTCCAAGGGACAGGGTCATTCAAAAAACTCAAAGAAAGGAGCAGGAGAGTGAAGGGATGAGGAGATGCAGAAGTGTCCAGGCAGGAGAGTCAGAGGGGTGGGGGGAGCTTGGGGAGAGATGAAATGACAGTGCAGCTCCCCAGGAGTGGAGCTGAGAAGGGTGGGCCCTGCTGAAGTCAAGTGATGCCAGAGGCAAGTTAGGGAGGCCCAGAAGGCAGAATGTGGACAAAGCAAGTGTTTGGAATTTGTTCTGGAATTTCAGCATGGAGAAACAGGAGGCAGGGCCCCAGAATGACTGTTGAATCATTATTTTTCTACTTCTGTATTTGTTGCCTCAGGAACTTTTTTGCAGCTTTGCAGGGAGAAGTAGATGAGGAACACAACAATCGTGGAGCCGGTTTGCAAGGCAAGACTGCTACCTGAGCAGTTTTTAAGCCATTTATTGAAAGCATACAAGCTAGTAAAAGTTGATCATGCAAGGTACAGTGGTATGAGGTACAATGTCCAGGGCACCGGGGACTAAGGTTTACAAGGAACAGAGATGGGTACATGGAGACGTTTGTGTGCTGATGTTATCGCAGGCAGTTATCCCAAGACCGCCATGGATTTAGTCACGTAATCAGGTCAGCGGTGGCCTAGGCATTCCCAGGCCTGCCTCAAGATATGATAGCCCGTAGGTAGTCAAGGAATGTTCTGCTGTGATTTACAGATAGCAAATAGGTCACAGTACCCATGAGTGGCCAGCTCATAGGATCCTACAAGTATTCCCTACAACTGTTGGTACCTTACAGGTGAGGAAACAGAGTAAAGCATGACACAACTTGCCAGGTCTCAGCCAGCTGAACCCACTGACTTAATCTCTGTTGCAAGAAACTTCTTGCTTGGATTCTTGGTGAAATCCTTGCCATGACTTATTTGTTGTCTTTTCACCAAGTGAAACCACCACTCTTAAAAAAAACCTCTTTCTTCTTAGTTTGCAGAGTGGTGCCTAGACTACGGAGCACATGGTTGCCGCATCCCCGACAGGCCCTATTCGCTCTTTGAAGGTAAGAGTGAGAGAAAAACTCAATTAAGTGTTTTGGCTCATGGGTCTGGTCCTCCTGTCTCTATGGATGGAATGCTCTTCTGTTTCATCTGACTTGGTAACAGTTCCACCATTGTAAGATAACTGAACAAATTAGTTTGTTGCTGAAAATTACATTGAGTCTCTTTGCTTATTGCATACTCCTGTGAAGAATGTCTTTCAAGTGTTTTTTTCATCTCTTGTAAATTATGCATATGCAACAGAACATAGAATGTTTGCACTCAGTGATGGGAGAAATAATGTTTACTCATCTGCATTTCATCGGTAATGTTGCGTAGATAATATTGATGTATATACAGGATCTGGATGATTATTTACATATTTAATTATTTAAGTTATATAAAGTAGTCTAAATACTTAAAAGTATCAGTAATTAGAAATATTAGTAGCTAGAACAAATAAAAGAATATTAAAAGTTCTTGAAAAACAAGAACAATGATAAGAAATCAGCAAATACATCTTAGTACTTTGCTACAGGCAAGTAAATAGAATGTAATTCAGGAAAACAAAATAGAAATCCTACAAAGAGGATTTTTTTCCCTTTTCTTTAACTGAGGTAATATTGTGGTACCCCATCAGATATTACCACCATAGTACACCAACTAACCCATATTCCACCACCATACACCATTGTCCTTCCTTCCCTCTTGTGCTCCTGGTATGAATCCCAGTTGGTCATAGTATATGACCTTCTAATGCATTGTTGTGTTCAATTTGCTGGAATTTTATTGAGGATTTTTGTGTCTGTGTTCATTAGGGAGATTGGTCTGTAAGTTTCTTTTATTGTGTTGTCTTTGTTTTGGCATTAGAATAATGTTAGCTTCATGAAAGATATTTCCATATTTGGAAGTATTCCTTTTTTGATTTTTTTTTTGGAAGAGTTTAATCAAGAGAGGTGTTAATTCATCTTTGAAAGTTTGGTAGAATTCACTTGTGAAGGCATCTGGTCCTAGGTTCTAACTGTTGAGAGTGTTTTGATTACTGTTTCAATTTCCCTACTTGTGATTGGTTTGTTCAGGGTTTCTGTTGCTTCCTATTCAGTCCAGATGATTGTATAATTTTAAGATTGTGCATCTCTTCTAGGTTATTGTATTTGTTCCCATGTAGATGTTCATTGTAATCTCTCCTTATCATCTAAATTTCTGCAGCGTTTGTTGTGATTTTTCCTTTTTGATTTGTTATTCTATTTATTTGAGATTTCACTCTTATTTTTTGGTGAGTTTTGCTAGAGGTTTTACTGACTTTAGAATTTATTTGTTCTTCTTTTTCTAATTCCTCAAGTTGAAAGGGAAAGTTATTTGTGTAAGTTCTTCTTGTTTCTTGATGTGGGCCTGTACTGCTGTGTATTTCCTTTTTCTTATTGCTTTTTCTGCATTCCATAAATTTTGGATGATTGTGTGCTTATTTTCATTTGTCTTGAGGTATTTCTTAATTTCTTCTTTGATTTCTTCTTTAACCCAGTGGTCTTTCAGTAGTGTGTTGTTCAATCTCCATATATTAGAAGAGCTCCCTCCTTTCTTTCTTTGGATAGTTGGTTTCTAGTTTGAAACTTTTATGGTCTGAGAAGATGCTGGGTGTGATTTCAGTCTTTGTAAATTGGTTGATATTCGTTTTGTCCCAGAATGTGGTCTATTCTGGAGAATGCCCTATGTGCACTTGAGAAAAATGCCTATTCTGCTTTTTGGGGTGCAGTGCCCTATATATGTCTATGAGGTCCATAGGGTCTAATTTTATATTTAAAGCTATTGTATCCCTGTTTATTTTCTGACTAGTTGGTCTGTCCATTGGTAAGAGTAGGTAAGTGTCCTACCACAAATGTGTTTTTTTCATTGTTTCTTTTCAGAGTTGATAATAGAGGCCTAATATATTTTGGTGTTCCTTCATTTGGTGCAGATACTTTAATAATTGTTATGTTTCTGTCTTCTGGATGTATCATTACCTTAATCATTATATAGTGTCCCTCCCTGCCTCTTTGTTATCTTTTTTAACTGTAATCTATTTTGTCTTATGTAAGTATGGTTGTCCCTGCCTTCTTTAGAGTCCCATTTGCTTGTAGGATTGTTTTCCAACCATTTACTTTGAGCCTATGTTTGTCTTTGGAATTTAGGTGTGTCTTCCAGAGATAACAGAAGGCTGGATTCTGCTTCCTGATCCAACTAGTACTCTGTATCTTTTCATTGTTGAATTAAGTCCATTTACATTAAAGGGATATGTGTTAGACTGTTGTTGTCATTTCATTCTTAACTTGTGTGGGCAGTCTATTTTCCTATTTAGTTCTATTGTATGTTCCTCTTTTCAGTTTCAATATGTAAGCACCTTTAAATATTTCTTGGAGTGATGGTTTAGTGTTTGCAAACTCCTTGAGCACCTCTGTGTCTCAAAAGGCCTTTATTCTTCCTTCATATCTGACGGAGGATTTTGTAGGATAATATTCTTAGCTGGCAGTTTTTCTTTTTAGAGTATTTTGTCAGAGAGGTCTGAGATTAGCCTGATTGGAGTACCTTTATGGGTTACATGCTTCTTCCCCTTTGCCAGCTTCAATATTCTTTCTTTGTCCTGAATTCTTATAAATTTCACTACTGTATATCTTGGTATTGATCTCATTTTATGTAGGTAGGCAGGGGTTCTTTTGGCTTCCTGGATTTATACATTTACTCCCTTCTCCAGGTTCAGGAAGATTCCCTCCATTATTTCTTTAAGTGCATTTTCTATTCCTTTCTCTCTTCCCCCATTGGTATTCCCATTATTCTTTTGTTGCCTTGTCTAATAGAATCAGATTGTTTTCAGAGTGTTTCTTTGGGTTTTTTGTTGTTGTTATTGTTGTTATTTTACTTAATTACTGTCTTTCCTTCTCCACCCAGGTTCTTTGTATATTTTCATCTTCAGTTACACTGACTCGTTGTTCCACTTGGTCTGTTCTACTTCCATGACTTCCTCCTGAATTTTTAATCTCCTGTATTTCTCTTTTGAAATCCTGAAACTCCACTTTTATCTTATCTAGGGCTTCCTTTTCTGTCTCCATTGTTTGATTTTTATGTCTAAGTACATTCATTTGTTTTTCTGTGTTTTCTTCCATTTCTTTGAATATATCATTACAATTCTAAATTCTGTATTTAATAGGGAGACCATAACTTCCATGTGTATGAATTGGATTCTGGAGATTTATTTATTCTATGTTGTACTATTCCCTTGAGGAGTCATGTTGCCATTTGTTGGCAGCTGACAGTGACAATAACAATGACAACAACAGTCTAATACATATCCCTACCCAGTTTCTGTATGTGGGGTTTCCTCTGAACATGGCTCCTCCCCTGCCCCAACACGGCTCCTTCCCTGCCCCTGCCTCAGATAGGGGTCTCACCTATCTGAGCAAGCAGCTAGCAAGGTCTCACAGGAGGTTGTAAGGCCTCTGGCCACTCTGGTTCTCTCTCTGACATAGGTCTAGGGTATCACCTCTCTGTGCAGGGGCTGTCAGGAATCTCATGGGAAGTAGCAAGGTCTCTCTAAGTCTAGACAGGCACTGGCAGGATCCCTCAGAAGGTCACAAGGCCTCTGCCAGTCCTGGCAGGGACTAACAGTGTCTTGTGAGGGCTCTGGTTGCTCTGGCACGCTCCCCAACATGGCTATGGGGTCTTACCAGTCTGCACAGGTGCTGGTGGAGTCTCACAGAAAGTCACAAAGCCTCTGCCAGTCTTGGTGGGCATTGGCAGTGTCTTGCGAAGGTTTCAAGGCCTCTGCTGGTGGGGATGGGGTCATTGGGGTCTTACAGAGACTCATATTTTGTATGTGTAGGGGTGTGTTAGGGGGTGTGTATGAATTGGATAATTTGTAACATAAGTCTCAGAAATCAAAGTGCAAAGCCTAAATGGTGTTAGGCTAAATTGGCAATAATTTAATTTCCAGCTACATCTTATTCAAAATAAACTTCAGAAATAATAATGATTGAATTTTTTTGAAAAATAAATAGGTGGTGAATTTCATTACATTTTTTCGGCATCAATAAGATCGTGATTATTTTCCTTTATTATTTTAGCCTAGTAATATTGTGGATTATATTGGTTGATTTTCCAGTGTTAATTCAACCTGGCATCTCTGGAATAAACCTCGTTTGGTCATGTTAGAAAATTCTTTTTATGCATTGCAGAATTGTATTAGCTAATATTTTGAGGGTTTTTTTTTTTTTTAGTTTTCAAGATTAATAAATAATTTATTAATGATTTTTTTAAAAAAAATTATTTTTATATTCCCCATACAATTGCAACCCCCTTATTTTGACCCCAATCCCTCCCCTCTCTGCCCCCCACCCCCATTGTGTGTCTCTGGTTCACAGTTGTTTGTTGATTTTGATTTTTTCTTTCTTATAGTTATTCTTTTTATGGTCCCTTATTTAAGTTATCTAGATTCCTGCCAAGAGTGAGACCATCTGGTATTTTTCTTTTTCTTTCTGGCTAATTTCGCTGAGCACGATCCCTTCCAGCTCCATCCCTGTTGCTGCAAATTGCATGTGTTTATCTTTTTTGAATGCTGAGTAATATTCCATGGTGTATATGTACTGCATCTGCTTGATCCAGTCATCTATTTTTGGGCATTTGGGTTGTTTCCAAAGCTTAGCTATTGTAAACAGTGCTGCTATAAACATAGGGATGCAGGTGCTCTTTGGAATTGATGTTTCTGTGTCGTTTGGGTAAATACCTAGGAGTGGAATTGCTGGATCATATGGAAGCTCTATGTTTAGTAGGTCCAGAAATCTCCACACACCTCTCCATAGTGGTTGGACCAGTTTGCACTCCCACCACAGTGCAAGAGGGTTCCTTTTTCTCCACATCCTCGCCAACATCTGTTGTTGCTAGTTTTTTTAATATGTGCCATTCTCACTGGTGTAAGATGGTATCTCATGGTAGTTTTGATTTGCATTTCCCTGATTACAAGTGATGTTGAACATTTTTTCATATGCCTGTTGGC